GGGTCCTGGCTGTGTGGTAAGAGTTAAAAACTCAGACCTGCTGTTTACTTCCTAATCAATGTGCGCCACGAATTGCAGATGCCCAGGAGGCATCCCGTGGAGTGTGTGTACACCTGAGCCTGGCGAAGACACACCCCCAACTACCACCACCTGGGGCTGAGGATCAGATCTGTAGACTCTCCGTGCAGTAGCGATCAGAGCTTGATGAGCCCCCTCCTGGCTGCACTGGAGTGTCAGGAACCAGACCCTAGCAGAGCTCAGCACCCAGCTCCTTTGTCTCGCCCGCCCCCTCGTCCCCACTTCCTGCCCAGCTTCTAGCTAGCGATCTGCGATGCGGCACGGACTTTGTAAACACGCCGCGCCTGTGGGGTGGACGCCTGTTGTGTTTGGGTGCCGCGGAAGCGGGGTGCACGCCCCTGTCCTGTCCGTGCTGGCGGCTGTGATCACGCCTACTGTCCAAAAACAGATCTCCAGCAGCTGGAGAGAACGTGAGGCCGCCATCCGAGCTTCGGGGGACTCAACTGCCAAGAGGTAGGCTTGGGGCTGGAGAAGCCAGAATAAATGTGACGTCAGCATCGCCTGCTTTGTCTGGGATGTTCCTTAGGGTCCTGGTTGGAGACTCTGAGGTGGAGATAGCAGGTGGGTGGGTTCAGCCGCTCAACGCGCCACTTTCCCCTCGGTTTTGTCCCCAAAACCTCAGTTCACTTTCCCACTGAGTGTGATGTTTTGACCAGAGAAGCAAGCCCCTCAAAGGTCCTTGAGCCTCCTAAATGCGTGCACGTCCTCACAGCCTCCCCTCCAGGCTGATGTGCAAGCCCAAGGATTTAGCAGCGTACATCAGCCTTGGAGGTTGGAAAGCCAACCAGCAAGGCTAGAGAGGTAATGGTGCTTGAGTCAGCCAGAGCCAAGGAAGAGGGGCCAAAAAACTAGAACTTTCCGGAAGATCCTGAGGGTCTGATGTGTACCAGGTCTCATCCGTCTGCATCTTGTAAATGTAGACCAGAGAGTAATTGAAGAAGCGGGCTGCTGTTGCAAGGAAGCAGTATTCCTTTGTACTGGCTGAGCACCTACTGTGTGCTTGATATCGTTTCTGTATGCTACTGACTTACTGAGCCATTGATGGTGTTGGTCTTGGATTCGACAGAGATGAAGGGTGAACGGCTCTGGTGATAGGTTGGATGGGAAAGGGACATCTGGGTTGGGTCCCGGAGGATGTTTTTGACCTCATAGAGAATTAGGTGGGAAGTCTTCGAGGTACTTACTACCCAGAGGTAGACTGAATCAAAATGGTGTTATTTGGCACAGGGATTATACTGGTAACTGGAAAACAGTCCCGCCTGTTCTCACTCACTTCCAGGCTTAAGGAAGTGGGAATAAACAAGAGTGATTCTGGAAAAGACAAGCTGCAGAGCTGGAGCCCCAAACTCCAATTCTGTGCAGCCGGAGGGTCCCCCTGGGGATGGCAGGACAGTCCATACCATAGTGAATACTGACTCCCCATCCTGGACCCTGGCACTGTTTTCTCCAACAAGCCCTGTCCTCTGTCCATCACTACTGCACCCTCTGGGACTAGTCCTGGGTGGAGAAGTGGCTCTTCTACACTTTCCCCATACACCCTAGCACAGCTGGTGACACATTCACTTAACACTTTTTCATGTGGCCACACTCTGCCGATGTTGGGGACATCATGGAGTAAAATCAGAGCTCTAGCCACAGAGACTGGAATGGAAAGTGTCTCTTTCCATCAGGGCACCACCAGTCAATGCTCAACCCTCAAACCCATGGTCACCGCCTCCAAGGTCCCAACCTTTTTTTCTTGTATGTTTCTCTTCATCAAGGACTTGGAATGCTAACAGAGTTACATAGCACCTTCAAGTGTTTATGTAAGTGGTTTAGATGTAGCATCTCACTTAATAGCTGTAATAAATGCATTAAATCAACTCTTATTAGTTCCATTTTATAGATGTGGAAACTTGAACACAGGAGATAGAAGGCCCCTTTAAGAAGGACAAGAAGTAAATGTCAGGGAGCTGGAGACATGACACTGCCCAAGCAGAGGACCCAGGTTCAGTTCCTGACATGGTAACTCACAACTACCTATTTCCAGGGCTTCTGATGCCCTCTCCTGGTCTCTCCTGTTCTCTGCAGGCACCAGGCATGAACACAGTACATACATGTAGGCAAATGCTCATACATATAGCAAATCTTTTTTTAAAAAAAAGAAATGGATGTCAAGTTGAGTGGTAGTCTACAGTGAGTTCCAGGATAGCCAGGGCTACACAGAGAAACCCTGTCTTGAAAAACAACAACAAAGAGGAGAGAGAGATAGGATGTCAAGAGACAGACTTTAAATCCAGCTCACTTGACCTGGGAGATCTGTCCTTTGCTTTAAGACAAGGTCTTGCTGTTAACCCAGACTGGCCTCCAACTCCCAATCTTGACTCAACCGGATGAGAGGTACCCATCATCACATCCAGGTCAGTGTCCCTGCTCTTGGCCACCAGGTGAACTGCCTCTTCAACTAGTCATGTAGACTCTGCAGGTGCTAGCTGAGGTGAGTCTGTGGGCTTGCACGGTCTCTTTTGTAGAAGAGCTTGGACTCTGATACTGTTTACAGAGAGTACCCAAAGGGCCTGCTCAGGGTTCTGAGGACAGCACAGCACAGAGGCAGTACCCTGTCTTATGTGGCTTTGGGTGTGTGCATGGGTGGATGTCAAGCATCTTTAGTCCCAGCTCTTGGGAGGGAAGCACAGACAGATCTCCGTGAGTTGGATGCCAGCCAGGTCCAGATAGCAAATTCCAAGCCAGTCAGTGCTACACAGAGAGACCCTATAAAGATGCACAAAACGTATTTATTTTATACGTATGATTGTGTTGTGTGCATTCATCTTTGTGTACCACATGTGTGCCTGATGCCCACAGAAGCCAGAAGAGGGTGCAGGATCCCCTAGGACTGGAGTTGACTTCTGGGAGTTGCCATGTGGGTCCTGGAAAGCAAACCAGGTTCTCTGGAAAAGCTGCCCATGCTCTTTACACTGGGCCATCTCTCCAGCCCTCACCTTACTTTTGGATGCAGGAGTTCCTCACTGAACCCGGAGCTTGCCATTGGGCTAGCCTGGCTAGCCAGGAAGCCC